GGCTTCCAATCTAGGGGACTCGTCTTTCAGTACTATAATGGATTATATTCTATTGTGATCCATAAGGATTTTATTGGTTAATTTCTGGAAGAAGATCACCAGGCCTTTCCTCTTAGTCTTAATCTGGAAGCTCCACTGAAACTTGTTCACCATGAGTGACATTGCTGGTATTTGAAATACTGGTGGCATAGCTTCCTGCATCACAGCACTATGCAAGATACCACAGTACTACAAACAGACGGATGGCGGCTACCAAAATTACACATTTACCCTTCGAACAAGGCCCCCCACTCTGGGGGTTTGCCCCACAGAAAAGCTTCCCCATGAGTGAAATTCACTGAGTAGTCTGGGCCTTAGCAAAAAACGGGCAAGTCCAGGGTCCCTTCATAAAGCCCTGGGGTGTGATGTAGCTGTTAAAAAGGATGTGTGCACCATCATGGACTGTGGTGGAGCCACTGAAGCTCATCCACCACTAGTGGGTCTGGACATCATACAACCAATTTAGAGAACAACTACTAAAACTGAAGACACATACCCCTGCGACTCAGTACTATCAGTCCTGCATGTGTACTATGCAATCATCAAATACATACACAGGATGCCTGTAATACTCAGAGTTAGAAGCCACCCACCTGTTCATCAGGATTAGGATCAGCCTAGTATGCTTTTCTTCTATAAAGGACCATACACAGCACTTGACAGGCCCACACAATGACAGGGGCAATCTCAGAAGCATTGTGGTGAGAGAAGGAGCCAGATATTGAAGCACATCAAATGTACCAGTTACTGCAGAGTCATCTGACTCACAGCGACTCCCTATGTGTCAGAGCAGAGCTGAGCTCCATAGGGTTTTCAATGGCTGATTTTTCAGAAGCAGATTGCCAGGCCTCTCTTCTGAGGCATGACTGGGTGGACTCGAACCTCTAACCCTTCCGTTAGCAGCCAAGTGCTTAACCTTTTGCACTACCCAGAGACTTCAGATCGAATACACAACCCTGGCCTTTAAGAACCAGAAACAGGAAAGATTGAACCATAATGTCCAGAGAGTGTGCCTACATCACAGTTGTGCTGGAGAGCAGAGAATTGGTTACCCTCGAGTCAGGGTAGGGGTGGAGGGTGGAGAGCAGTCAGAAGGCATTTAAGGCTTCTGAAAGGCTGGCCACATTACATTCATGCCTGGTAGATAGTAACCCAGGAATTGCTTTGTCATAAATCATTGAGCTATTATTCATTATTGTTTGAGTACCTTGATGTGCATACATCAGCATAAAATTGCTAACTAAGAAAATAAATGGAGAGGAAAAGGATGTATGAGTAAAATAAATTCAGAAAAGGAACCTCTCTATGTAGTATAGAAAAGTTCTTTGGGTGGCCTTGTTGAATAAAAACAAGCTGTGGCATGAGGCATATAATAAGCTCTTTTGTGTAATGAAGGGGAAATAAGAATATTTATTTCATTCATTTGTATTTGTATAAACACTAATTGGCTACAAAAGAAAGGAATAAAGTGATTTCCTGAAGAGGACATGAAAAAGGGAAATGGCCAGCACTAATAGCAAAATTCAACAAGACGGAAAATAACAAATGCTGGCAAGCATGCAGAGAGAATGGGACTCTCATACACTGCTGGTGGGACTATAAAATGATGTAACCATTGTGGAAAGCAGTATGATGATTCTTTAAAAAGTTGGAATTAGAAATACCACTTGACTCAGCCATTCCATTACTTGGTATATACCCTAAAGAAGTGAGAGCCAGGACAAGAACAAATATATGCACACCCATGTTCGTCGCAGCACTATTGACAATAGCAAAAAGATGGAAAGAACTTAGGTGTCCAACAACTGAAGAATGGATAACCAAACTATGGTACATACACACAATGGAACACTATACAACTCTAAAGAATAACAGAATCTGCAAAACACTGCATAATGTAGATGTACTTGGAGAATATTATGCTGAGTGAAGTAAATCAATCACAGAAGAACAAATATTGTATTAGTCTGTTATTGTAAAAAGTCAAGGAAAGATTTATATATGGAAAGAAATTTTCTTTCTTGGTTACCAGGGTTGGGGAGGGAGGGGAAGGAATATTGTTAGATAAGTAGAGACAAGTATTGATTTAGGTGATAAAAAGGGTAATGTATCAAATGTGAATGATCAACACCATGGCATTGAGGAAGAGGAAGACATAAAGAGGTGCATGGGAGGTACAGACAACAAAGATGAACCCTTTTGCACATACAGTACTGCATAGTGAGTGAAGGAAAACATGGACAGGCTGAACTATTAGATATGTCTGTGCAGGGGGGAGTGTGCCCAAGACCAAGTATAGAGTTGGCAATGTTTCTACAAATGTTTTGGTATGTTCTGTAAAAATTCCCAGGTATATAGTAGAGCTGACAAGGGACAAGGTTGTAGTCACTTCTTGGCCACAGCCAGCTACCCAGAGGGAACAAGTAGTTGGACCTGTGGGCTCAGGACCATAGTTGCAGGGGACATCAAGCTCAGTTGGTATAACATACTACACAAAAACTTTGCTCCACATCCTACAGTGGTGAATACTGACTGGAATCTTAAAAGCTTTCAAGCAGCCACTAGATGCAATGATGGGTCTCTCCTCATCCAGAGCAAAGAAGAATGAAGAAAACCAAAGATTCATGGAAACAGTCCACGTGACTGGTACACCATGTGATCCTCAGCCTATACAACTATGAGACCAGAAGGACTAGATGGTGCCTGGCTACCATTGTCAACCGTTCGGAGGAGGATCTATGTAGGAGATCCTGGATAGAGAGAGAGAACAATGTGGAACAAAACTCAAAATCATTTAAAAAAAAAAAAGGACCAGGCTTGCTGGTCCGATACAGCCTGATGGAACCACGGGGACTATGGCCCCTAGCTGCCCTTCAGGTCTGGAATTGAACCCATACCTGTGGCTTCCAGCCAAACAAAAGACAGGCATATGAAGTGAACATTTACATCAGGTAGATACAGCCCTTGGAGAGAACAATCATGGGAGAATAGAAAGGCTATGTATGCACAGGGAGACAGCTCAGGGGGCAGGAGTGCATGGAGGAAAGGACACAGGTAAGAGGTAACTATAGAGAGGAAGGGGGAGGGGAGCTGTTGCATTGTGGTAAATTGTAGTCAATGTCATAGACAAAGTGTATGTGAGCTGCTGTATGGAAAGTGAATTTGCTTTGTAAACTTTCACCCAAATCATAATTTAAAGAGGGAGAGAAACAGAGACCTTTAAACCAAAAAAAAGGAAAAAGGGGAATGAGAGCAGGGGATGGTGGTGGTGAGATTCCTCATGGGGACCTTGTTGTATTATTTTGGTTTTTTGAATTGTGTAAATATGTTACCTATTTTTAAAAGATTAAGTAAAGTGAGGAAAGTCCTGTAGCTGATCACAGTTTGGTCTTCCTGAAACTACCGCCACACACTCCCTCGAAGATCAGCTGCTGTCCAGAGTGGAACTACATGGCCATCTGCCTGAGAGTCCCTCAAAGTCTGTCACTTCCCATCCCTCAACCCAGGGCTCAGGGGCCTCCTCCTTCTCTTTCCTCTTCCTAGGAAGCCATCACATGAAGTCCCCCTCCTTCTTTGTGCCATCTCTGACAGTGTCATCACCCTTGGCACCCAGCCACACAGCTATTTACTATTTCAAAGCACCTAGAGCATCTGTGAGCCCCTGAGAGTAGCCTGTGAGCACCTGGAGTATAGTGCTCCATGAGCAGGGCTGTGTTTCACTTTTGGTTTTATCCCCAGCTCTGAGCTCTATTCCACCAGGACTGAACAAGAGCCCTGTAGAAGTGGGCACTCCACCCACATGCCCTGCCCAAACACCTGCATGCAGGTGTGTGGATGAGAAGTAAGAGGGGACTATAGAGTGGATCTGGGGAAGCCCCTCTGGAACACCAAACCAGGGCCTTCATCCACTTTCTGCCTGGGCCCCAGACATAGAGCTGGCAGGAGCAGCACTAGGGGATGCTTGGGGCGGGCGGGACAGGATAATCTCTCATGTTCTTGACCACTGAGCCCCCATGTGAGAAGGTCCCCAGAGCAGGGCTTTTGCCTCATTTAAGTACTATACCACACTCCCCCAGGACCACAAGCCTCTGGATCCCTGGCCCAACACTGCCCAACAAGGTCCAGGGTCCCCTGGCTGCTCCCTGTGTCTCAGTGCCTCTCTTGTCCTCTGGGATAGTCCCCAGGCCCACTACATCTGTTTATGCTTCACACATTAGCCATTGTCCACTTAGCATGGGTTCCTTTCATTCACTGAGACCCCACAGTGGTGATCAGGGTAGGGCAGCTGAGTGAGTGATCAAGTCCCAGTCACATCTACTGTCCCCCACCCCACTTTCATCAGTGCCCCCTCCATTGTACAATGGCCCACCTGCCTCCTGGCCCAGGAGTGGCACCCACATCTGGAGCTTCTTTGATCCTGGGAGTCTGTGAGCTTCTGCGAGTAACAGCCACCTCCAGCTTCTCACTGATCAAGGGGCCACACTGCCCCAATCCTGGCACCAGACATTGGTGCTCTGGGTAGCAGTCTGACCAGGCCTGATACCCTAAATATCCATCATGTCCCTGTGGTGGGGGGGGGTGGAATCCTGCAGGCTGGCCACATGTCAGCTCTCCTGTAACTCCCTATTTCCTAGCACCCCAACCTCATTTTTCACTTATCAGAGGCTCCACCCCATGACAACCCCCCGCCGAGAACCAAGACCCTTACCCCAGCCCCCAATCACACAGCAGGACACTGAGCATCATGACTTTACTAAGACTGGAAAGGATGGAGTAGGAGATCCTGGATAGAGTGGCCATGAAGATAGACTGGGAAGAAGGAAAGGGGTCATGGAGCCACACTGGTCTGAGAGTTGGCATCAAGTGGTAGCCTGGTTGGTCACAGCCCCTCTGCAGACCCCACCCATGATTCCCCTTACTCCATGATAGGGGATGAGTCCAGCGGTTCTCCACTCTGGCCCTCACTCCCGCCGGGCCTCCAGACGGTCCAGCACCAGTGCAGCCTGGGTCTGTGCATCCTGCAGGAGGCTGGAGACTCGCTGGCGAATCTGACAAACCATGGACCGTCATCCCCTGCCTGACAGAGCATGGCCCTTCTCCCTCTCTCAGTCATGGCACCCCTCCTCCTATGCTGCTGCCCACAGATGGTCCCTGGCACCTGACTGTGCCTGCCAGCTCCAGCCCACACACTGTCTCCTCCCTATGTCCTTCCCAGGCCATGCATACCCCTTCTTGTCCATCAATGGTGACCAGGGTCATCGGTGATAACAGAGGGACACTGACTCTCAGTACAGATGAGAGAGGCTCCCTCTATACTGACGTTTGTGGGAAGCCAGACTCAGAGCCCTTTGGTGGCCTTAGCCTCCCCACTACCCTCCCAGCTTCTTTCTTTAACTACAGCTTCCCAGGCCAGATACAGCTGTCTCCCAAAGACCCAGGGTGGAGGAACTCCTGGGAGGCTGTCTTTGAGTTTGGCTCACTGCCTGGATGGTGCACAGTGAGTCCTCTGAAGAGGGCCACACTGGGCCTGCCTGGAGTGAGTGGTAGGAGGTTAAGAGCTATGGAGATGCCCAGCCTGACAGGGCCTTGATGCCCCAACTTGGGATCCAAGTAAAAAATGGTGAATGGCAACTTCACTTTTAAAATTATCATGAAGTCTACAGGGACAGACACCAGATTGTTGCTGCCACCGGCTGAGAGTTAAGGTGACTGCTGATGGGCATGGGTCTCCTTTGGAGTGGTGACATGTTTAAGAACTAGATAGAAGTGGGGGCTGCAACCTTGTGAATGTACTGAAAACCTCTGAACTGTTCTCTTTAAAATGGTTAGTTAACTGTTCTAGGACAGCCTAGAACCCTACTTTGGACAGTGCCCAGGGCCTGGGCTCGGCCCAGCCACCAACTTATCAGGAGCATGGAGAGGGTGGTGACTGGCACTGGGGCTTTGACCCCACACTCCTCAGCCCCTCCCTACCAGGACAGGCCAAAGAGCAGAAGAAGCCCCATGGGGAGGGGAGGATGTCAGGCACCCTGACCACATTTTCTCACAGGAAACTCCTGAGGGAGGGCAATGGCACAAGCACCCTCTCCTGATGTCTGTGGATGCCACAGAAGGTCTAGCTGAGTGAATAGCTCTATAGGACAGACCAGAGGGGCCCACCTCATCCCCATACTGGACACAAACAGCCCTGCTTAGCACTGTGTTCCAGCCCTACCTCTGCACCTAGACCTGCTTCTGGGCCAGTACTGCCTCCTGCTCACCTGGTCCTTGAAGTCATCATCTGTGATGTCCTTCAGGTTAGTGAGCACATTGAAGTAGGCACCAAACACACCTGTTTCCAACGCTTTGGTTGCCACCTGCCACAAACACCAGGGGAAGTTAGGAAGGAGGCTCTGTGAGGCTGGGGAGGGGGTGGGCAGAAGCAGGGAGGAAGGGAGAGAGGGAAGAGGAAGAGGGGCTATGAAATGAGGGGGACAGGGTGGGTCAGGGAGGAGAGGAGGACAGGGGAAGGGGAATGAAGGACAAGGAGGAGAGGGAGGGTAGAGGGTAAAGGGAACAGGAGAGGGCTAGAAGGAGAGGACGGTAGAGAGCAGGGAGGGGTATTGGAGACAGGTGGGGAGAAGGAAGGCAGACAAGGGCAGGGAGAGGAAGGGGAGAGGGGAGAGGGAGACGGATAGGGAGGAGAGGAGGTGACTGAGATGCCATGGTTAGTGCTCTCAGGTTCAACTGTTGTCACTGATGGCCCCGACATCTCTCCTCCTCTGCTGCCTTAACCGTACCCAAGGGTGAACAGAGGAGGTCAGGCCTCATACCTGCAGGTCCGACTGGCAGGCCAGGTTCCCACACAGGGCTAACTCCTGCAGCACTGGCCACAATGAGGCCACTATCTCTGCCAGGGACAAGGGCACAGCCACTGCCTGCTTCAGCCCATCCTGCATGGCAGCCACACGCCTGGAACCAGAGAAGGGTGCTGTGAGGACCACACTCGGGCTCCTCAAAGCCTGCACCTGAGCTGGGGGTAGGGATGGGCTTGAGGCACTCTAGCCCTACAGATAGTAGAAGCAGATGGAATCAGGATGAAACATGGGAAAACCCGTCTCTAATCACAAAGATCCCATGGGGGCTGTGCCACATGGATCCCTATGGTCCCTGTGGGCCTAGTCAGGCCACTTCACAGGGCACACTATACACACCTGTCTCTTTCCTCAGGTGTGCTCTTGGGCAGCTTCAGTGCCTCCTACAGGAAACAACCACAGAGACACACAGTGAGGGAGTGTGAGATGAGACACTGTCCCCATAACCACACCTGTCCCAGTAACCACACTTGTCCCCTATAACCACACTGTCCTCCATGACCACATCTGTCTCCCATAACCACACCTGATACCTATGATCACATCTATCACCTATGACCACACTTGTCCCAATGGCCATACCCATTCCATATGACATACCTATGCCCTATGACCACACCTATGCCCTATAACCACCCTTGCCCCCATGGCCACACCTGTCCCAGTGCTACCTCTGTCCTCCATGACCACACTGTCCTCCATGACTACATCTGTCCCCCATGACCACGTATGTCCCTATGACCACATCTATCCCTATGACCTCATTTGTCCCCATGACCATGCATATCCCAGTGACCACACCTATCCCCCATGACCTCACTGCCCTCCATGACCACACCTGTCCCCATGTCCTCATGGCCAGGCCTATCCCTGTGACTATGTCTGTTCCTCTGACCACACTGTCCCATGACCACACCTATCCCTGTGACTACATCTGTTCCTTGTGACATACTTTTACCCTGTGATCACACCTGTCCCCCTGATCATGCCTGTCCCCAATGACCACACCTTACTCCTCTATGAATTATTTAGTGTATTCTCATTGTTGCTATTTGTTTTTTTCCCCAGTGAAGTGGTTTCCTCTGTTGAGGATTCAGCATCTCAGGTGTGTTGTTGGCAGTGATCTCTCGAGCCCTGGTCTTGGCTTTGCCCACCTTCGAATGCTTGTTGATAAGGTAGGTTTCTAGAACACTACTAGCCTCCTCCATCTTCAAGGGCATCAGAATACTTCTCTGGCACCTAGCATGGCTAGCAAGACCTTAGTGTTGTCAGATTCTCAGACTTCACAGAACTGGCTTTGTTCCTGAGTCTTTACACTATCTTGGTGCCTGTGAAACTGTGGAACTTCATGGCATTGGACCTGCTCCACTGTTGGATTCTTTCTCCCCAGGTGTGAGAATGTCTCTCCTGGTATCTCTAATTCCTGCCTTCTCCTCTAGCCTTTCACTCTAGAACTGGTCTCTTGCCCACAGTGAAGATTCTCAACCTTCCCCTCCATGTCTCTGATGTTTTTGGTAGTTTCTCTCTGCACCATTGCCCTGAGTTCTATATGACTCCCCTTCTCTGTGGACCTGAAGGACTGGCTAATCCACCCCTTGATGTGCATGTCCTGTGAAATGACCCTCCTGGCACTGGTGGGTTATTTAGATCACAGTGTTCATTTTCCAGTGCTCCATCTGTTCCTTTTTCATTGTATAGCTAAAATGTCTTCTTCAGTCTCCTGAAACTCTCAATTGCCCTGACTTCCTTCATGTGAGATTTGTTTATTCCACTTCCTTGGGTCTGAGTTCTTCTGTGTGGTAGCTCCTTCATGGCCATCCCCAGCATCTATGGGGTCTGGATCATGGACACTTCTGTGTGTTTGATGTCCACCCATCTGTAGGCATTCAGGGAGCAGCCAGGCTGGCTTCTGACTGTGGCTGGTGGGAAGGAAACCCTGCACCATGGTTGTCGCCTCCCACCCCACCCCTAACACTACTGTAGACTACCAGCGGTACTCTCATTCCTGTTCCAACCCCAAGACCCCAATAGCCTCAGGCTTGCACAGGCACAGAGAGAGGAGTCAGACAACAGAGGGGTCGTGCTGATTGCCCTGGACCCAAATAGAGGTTAGACAATTGTACTCCCCATGACCATTCTGGACACTACTGGTCTCCAAGCACCTTTTCTTCAAGCATTCCCCACCCCCACCTCCAGCTGGCCTCTCCAGTCTGCACTCCACCTATCCACTCTAACCTGTTCTCTGAGATCCTGGTTGGCCTTTCCTCTACTTCAGACACTGCCCCCCACCCCATCCCCACGCGCACACCCTTAGGTGGGTGTTTGTAGTCGCTTCTGTGGCCTTGGAGTCTCTCAGATGGGGCCATGGGCCATGCACACTCACCAGGTAACCATTGAAGGCTTGGGCATCGGTGTCCACCAGCGCAGTCAGCTGAGCCGAGGCTGCGTGGAAGGGCGGGATCAGGCGCCGCATCTCTGCGTCCAGGTGCTCAAACTGGCGCCGCCCATAGGTCATCAGGCCCACCATGGAAGCCAGTGCTGCGCCCTGGGGAGAAGTGGGCTGCAAGCTCCAGGACACCGGGACCCACGCTGGGCACTTGATCCACTTGTGCTATCTGGACCCCAGGAAGTGACAGAGGAGAAGACCAAGCACAGAGGCATCGCTGCTCCCCCCACCTGTGACGGCCCGCGGGTCCCCGGCCCACGTCCCGCACAGTGAGGTCCTGCTGCGCCTCCACCCTAGTCTGTGGTGCGATGGAGTCATGGTGTAGTAAGGACTCCGCCCTTGCGTCCTGCGATCGGGGCCTGAACAGTGAGATTGCCTCTCCACATCCCTCAATGGGATGCGGGTGCTCTGGGTTCCCCACACGCCCCTCACCCGGGCCCACCACTCACCATGGCCGCAGTAGCTGCTGACACCGAGCCTCCTCCAGGGGCTGCCGAGCGGGCGCCCACCTTCCGGATGAAGGCGCCTAGAGGTTTGTTCACCAGGCACTGTTCTGGCTCACCATCTGGGACCAGGTATCTGTGGGCCAGCAGGGACTCAGCTGATGGGAGGGGTTTCTGTGGTGGTTGTCCTGGAGCTTCAAGGTCTACTAAGGAGCCCACCCTTCCTATTGCTGCAGGTCAGCAAGCCACATCCCTTCCAACCCCAATATCCCCATCGGGAGTGGGACAAGGCTGCTCTACCACCTGGTCTGCATAGGGCTCAGAGAGGATGCAGCAGGGAGATTATGAGCTCCCTGTCCTGGCCTGGCACAGCTTCCTGGAGTGATTGTACTGGAGCATAGAGACCAGGAAGAGTGTCAGGACTCTCCCCAATCCCCTTTCCTAAGGGCTGTTTTCTGGAAGGGCCACTGCAGAGACCACGCTTTCTGTGGCTCCAGGTGCCTCCACCAGTACCCTACCAACTCCCCGTATCAGCCAAGAAGACATAGCCCTCCCCTGAGGGAGTGCTTTGGGTGCAAAGACCCCAGGGTGCCGTGACATTATCACCCTGCTACCAGGCTAGAGGATGAAGCTGGCATCAGGACCTGGTTTCTGATTCTGAATCTCACCTTGCTCCCCACACCACAGCCCTTACCAGCAAGGACATTGTTCCCAGTTTGCAGAGCAGGTGACAGGCTCAAAGGGAAAGAACAGGGACCTTGTCGAGGTCTCACCCGTTCCTCACCCCTACACCTAGCACAAGGCCCTCTGATGTTTGTTGAATGAGTAAGTGACCAAGCAAAAGGATCTGGAAGGACCAAAGCCACACAGGACCCTACCCCCTGTACCATGCCCACAGGGAAGGAGCCTCTGACTCCGGAAAAGGTTGGTGAGGAGCTCACTCGATAATCCGCTCCTTAGGATTGAAGGGAGACAGAGAGTCCAGGCCCAGCCGGTTCACTACCTAGAAAAAGAGGCATGGTGCAGGATGAAAACAACCCTCCTTGCTATCCCCCATGTGAAGAAGGTCGATGCCAGGAAAAGTCATGGAATGTGTTGAGGATCCCTCCCAGCTCACTGTGGTGTCTACATCCTGAGTTCACCTTTTTGTGGGAGCAGGACAGGGGCATGGTTGGCAGACACTTTGCTCCCACAAGGAGCTCTGTTGATTACTGACTCCCATGTCCAAGCTGGACCCCACCTGAGAGAGCATGCCAAGTCCAGAGCAAACACCCTGTACATACTTTCTGATAAATCCACCCAGCCCTGTGTTATCTGAAGGGGAAAATGAGACCCAGAGAGGAGGTGCCCACTCATAATCACTCAACAAATCATCATTCTAAGGAATGCTGCTTTTACCATTTCTAGTCAATGCAGTACTGGAAATTCTAGGCAAAGCAATTAGACAAGAAAGAGAAACAAAAGACCTTCATATTGGAAAGGAAAAAGTAAAGCTATCTCTATTCTATTCACAAATGACAAGATTTTATGTGTAGAAAACCTTAAATAATACACACACACAACACATACACATACACACACAACACATACACATACACATACACACACACACACACACACTGCTGGAGCTAATAAACAAATTCCATCAAGTTGTAAGATACAAAAGCAACATGCAAAAAATCAGATGTATTCCTATACATTAGCAATGAACAATCTGAAAAAAAAAAATCCATTTACAATGGCATCAAGAATAATAAAACTCTGGGAATAAATTTAACCAAGGAGGCACAAGATTTATACACCATCACAAGATTTGTACACTGAAAAGTATTTTTTAAAAAATCACTGAAAGGAGGAGGCGGGGCAAGATGGCGGACTAGGCAGAAGGATTGCACAGACCCTCTTCAACAAAGAAAAGGGAAACCAATTAACACAGACACAGAAGATA